CTTTGTGCAACTCTGCCTCCCTAAAATCCAATTCACACATGAGTCAAGATGTCACCCTATGATGTCATTTGTCCTCTTCAAAAACGAAGGACAAACAACATGACATACAACAACCATACTACCAAAGAATTACTTTATTGAGCTAGAAAAAAATAACAAAATTCATCTGGAGAAACAAAAGGTCAAGAATTTCAAGAGAAATTATTTTTTTTTTTAAAAAAGGTAATTAGGGGACCTATACCAGATCTGAAACCATACTATAATACCCAGAGTTCAGTGTTTGATAAAGCAAAAAAATATAAATTTCTTAGAAAAGAACTCCCTATTTGATAAAAACTGCTGGGAAAACTGGAAAGCAGTCTATCAATAATTAGTCTTAGACCAACACTTACCCACATTCCACAATACACTCTAAATGGATACATGATCTTAATATTAAAGATAATACTATTAAAAAATTATAAGAGAAACAGATCATATACCTCTAACAGCTATGAGTAGGTGATGCATCATTAACTGAACAGGGGACAGAGGCAATTACAAAAGATAAAATGGGTAACAGATTACGTGAAGCTGAAAAACTTCTGCAAAAACAATATTAATATGCCTAGAATAAGAAGGGAAGTGGTGAAATGGGAAAGAAATCTTTGCATCACATGTCTCTGACAAGGGTCTGGTACTCAAGATATATAAACAGTTAACATATATATTATATGTACTATGCATGTTTATATGTATTTTATAATAAGTGTACATGTGTGTGTCTATCCAAAAGCCATTCCCAATAGGGAATTGAGGCAACTAGGTGGTATAGTTGGTAGAGTACTGGACTTAGAGCCAGGAGGACCTGAATTGAAATCCAACCTCAGACACTAACTGTGTGACACTGGATAAGTCCTTTACCTCAGTGTACCTCACTTTCTTTAATTGTAAAATGGGAATAATAACAGCACCTACTTCCTAGGGTTGGTGGGAGGATCAAATGAAATAACATTTGTAAAGCATTTAGCACAGTGTCTGTACGTAGTAGGCATTTAATAATTATTTATTTCCTATCTTCCAATAGATATGAACAAAAGGATATGAACAGATAAAGAATTTCAGACTATTACAGCCATATGAAAAAAATGCTCCAAATCACTAATTGCAAGACAAATGCAGATCAAAGCAGCCCTCAGGTTTTACCATACACCTCGCAAATTGGCGAGGATGATTACATATAAGAATCGTAAATGTTGGAGGGATTGTGGGAAGATAGGCACACTGGTGTTGTTTGTTGGAGCTATGAATAAGTGTAACCATTTTGGAAAGCACAACTTGTGGGGAAAAAAAAGTGACTAAAAGGTCCATACCCTTTGATCCAGAGATTCCATTACTAGGCTTATGTCCCAAGGAAGCCATTGATAAGAAGAGAGTCCCCAAATACAACAAAATAATTTATAGCAGCACTTTTTGTGATGGCAAGGGATTGGAAATAGAGTAGATGCCCATTGATTGGGGAATGACTAAATAAATTGTGGGTATATGAAAGTAATGGAATATTACTGTGCTGTAAGAAATGACAAAAGTGATGAATACAGAAAAGCTTGAAAGTATCTACATGAACTTATGCAGAATGCATTAAACAGAACCAAAAAATAGATACAATGGCAGAAGCAATGTAAATGGAAAAAACAACCCCGAAAAGAAAATCAGCAATAAATGTTGCAAAATTATAAACAGTGAACCTGACTCCAAAGAAGAGAGATGAGAAGAAACTCCCACCCCACCCCAGTGCAGAGGTGGGAGGTCCAGAAGTGTACATTCCATGTATTTTCAGACTTTTTTGATGTGTGGATCAACTATGCTGATTTTTTCCTTTTCTTTTTCTATTTCTTCTTTTGTTATATCAGATGGCCTTCAGAGAAGAAGGATTGGTGGGGGAAATTATGGTTGATATAAAGGACAACCCTCAAAATACATCAACAAAAACTTATTTTTTTAAAAAAGAAAGGAAATAACTCAGACAATATCTTTGCACTAATTTTTTTTCTGATAACATTCTGATATGCATAATATATAAGAAACTTACTCAAATATGTAAAGACAATAGCCATTCCCCAATAAATCAATGGTCAAATATGAGTAGGCAGCTCTCAAAGGAAGAAATGCAAGCTGTCAACGACCATATGAAAAAACCCTCCAAATTATTACTAATATGAGAAATGCCAACTAAAACAACTTTGAGGTCTTCCCTCATGCCCGTCAATTTGACAAAGATGACAAAAAGAAAATTGTTAATACATGCATACATTATTGGTGGAGCTATGATGTGGTCCAGGAATTCTGGAAAGAAATTTAGAACTATACCTCCAAAGTCACTAATTTACGCATACACTTTGATCCAGTGATACCATTACTAGGCTTATTGTTGTAGCTTGACCCATCTCAAAGAGGGCCGTGACATCAGGGAGGTATATATAAAAGAAAGAAGGAAAGGACCCATATGTACAACAGTATTTATAACAGCACTTTTTTGTGGTAGCAAAGAAATAAAAACTAAGGGGGTGCTCATCAGTTGGGGAATGGGTGAACAAATTATGGTATGTGTATGTAATGAAATATTTTACTGTAAAAAAAAAGCAAAAGAAATGAATTCAGAGAAACATATATAGGAAGACATATGAATTAAAGAAGAGTGAACTGAGCAGAACCAGGAAAACAATTTAAACAACATTATTAACAACAACTTTAAGACTTTAGAACTTCAGTAAATTCAGTGACCAGTCATTACTTTAGAGGAATGAGCATGAAGCCGTGCTACTTTCATTGCCTAACAAAGAAGAAACTCAACATGGCCATTATATGGATCTATTTTGTTTGACTACGATTATTTGTTCCAAAGGAGATTTTTTTTTTAATTGATGAGTTTTGTAAAGGAGAGGGATACTAGCCATGGGGATGCCAAGAAGAAAAAAAAAGTATTTTTAAAAATGCGTAGAAAAGAATAGAGGCAGGGGGGCAGCTAGGTGGCGCAGTGGATAGAGCACCGGCCCTGAAGTTAGGAGGACCTGAGTTCAAATGCGGCCTCAGACCAAACACTTGTCACTTACTAGCTGTGTGACCCTGGGCAAGTCACTTAACCCCAATTGCCTAAAAAAAGAAAAGAAAAGAATAGAGGTTTAAAAGGATACACAGACAAGCAGGATGTTTTGAAATTTGAGTGCTGAATATATTAGTTTTTTAAATGTAATATATACATAATGGATTCGCAGTTTTCACACACAGCCCTCTTTTGCTAGTCATTTTCTGTAAAATACATATGTTTTATGTTTGTCAAGTACAGGTAAAAAATTAATTTTTAAAAATGAGAGGGCTGGACTCTGATCTTTGAGGTCCATTTCGGTTCTTTTTTAAAGAAGCAAAAGGGGTGGGTAGTAGTGGCTTTGGCAGCACATATACTAAAATTAGAATGAAACAGATTAGCATGGCCCCTATGCCAGGATGATGTGCAAATTTGTGAAGCATTCCTTTTTTTTTTTTTTCAATGGGGGTGGGAGACAGAGAGAGAGAAAAGAGTACATGTGAATGTACCTGCCTGTGACATGGTATTTGGCTAGGTCAGATTTAGAAATTAACACGGCTTCGCAGTGAGCCATAGTTCTCTGGTGGTCCTGTGTTCCTTCATATAGCTTCAAACACATTTCCTGACAGAGCAACTAGATTCCAGTTTGTGTTTGTACCGTGGGAGAATTATTGGCAAAACTAGAAATGTGGGATTCCTGCTTTGTGGGAAGAGCTGGGTAGATTTATATTAACTTAATTTCTTTGAGCTTATTTCTTTCCCTCCTTAAAAGTGTTTTTTCCTTGTAAGACATAAGTCAGGGCCTTGTCTGCCTCCTTTCCGTATAGCTAAAAAGGTTATGCTAAAAAGTTATTTCTTGAAATAAGTGCTAGGGACATTTATATAGTATCAGTATGAGGAGTGTGAAAAAATTGATGGATGATTGTTGATTTTTCCGCCTTTAAAGCAAAGTGATGATAACTCTTTGGAAAGCTTGTCTTTTTTTTCCAAACTAGTTCATGTCCTTTTGGCCTCCCATTTCAGAGTGGTTTACAAGAAACAGAAGTTAAAAGCTCCATGGATAATTTTTTTTTAATGTGGCTTTTTAGGCCTCAAAAGGATTAGAATGTATTTTAGGATCTTCATTTATTGACTACTTGTACCCTTGGGGAAAATCAGTTAACCTCTCTGGATCTCGTTTTCCTCCCTTGTAAAATGAAAGGCTTAATCTAGATTGGCTCTAAGGTCCCTTTTGGGTCTGACATTTTGTTATAGCTTAACATACTATGTTCTTTTTTTAAAAAATTAATTTATTTTGAATTATGAATAATCATTTCCATAAGCTTTTGAGTTCTAAATTTTTCTCCCCCTCTTTTCCCACCCAGGTGTGCAATCTGATATGGGCTATACATATACATTCCTATTAAAGATATTTTCACATTAGTGATGTTATAAGTAAGAATTAGAACCAATAGGAAGAACCACCAGAAAGAGGAAACAAAACTCAACAGAAGAAAAAAAATAGTGAACAGTATGCTTCGATCTGCATTCAAACTCCATAGTTCTTTATTTGGATGCGGATAGCATTTTCCATCATGAGGCCTTTGGAGATGTCATAGATCCTTGTATTGCTGGGAAGGGTTAAGTCTATCAGTATTAGTCATCACACAACATGGCTGTTACTATAACATACTATGTTCTGAAAACCCTGCTAGCTCTAGCATTCTGCGTTCTAAGGTCTAATCCTTTCAAGTTTCAACATTTTAAAAATCTTGTGATTCCTGATAACCATTTTCCCACCCTGAGATATATCTGTGGCTCAACTCACTTGTTTTGTTGTTTATCTTTTGGGACTGCTCATTTGAAATCTAGGCTGCTTGGCTGACGCCCCCCCCTGGGGAAGAGACTACTTTCAATGTTTAAAGAGTTTTGTTTTTTGCTTTCTTTTTCAATCCAGCTTTCTAGAACAGTGCTTCGGAAAAAACTACGGTTATCTGAGTCAAAGGCCAGCCAGAGCCAGCCCGAGTCGGATTCCTTAGGGGATCACCCACTTGCCTCACCCAGGAGTCCTGCTCCAGAGTACAGTATCTATTTCACTCGCCATACCAGCAACAGTTCCCGGCTGGGACCTGAGTTTTTTGACCAGCCTGCAGTCACCCTGGCCCGGGCCTTTCTTGGACAGGTAATTTGCCTGTAGCTCCTTGCCTTTAGGACAAACTAGAATTTGTTGAACCAAGAGGTTACCATTCAGGCTTTCATTCAGCATTCAGTAGTGTTTATTAAGATTCCACTATCTGCAGTATGCCAGTTTCTGAAGGAGATACTAAGTTTAGATATGTCTGACCTTTCATGGATTTTGTAATTTAGAAAGGGGATTATACATGATAGATAAAACGCAAATTAAAATGTGATATGTGCATAAAAGGAGTATAAACTTTATCATATCAGTCAAAGAAGGGATTGCTTCCAACTGGGAGAATCCAATAAAGCTTGGAGAAGAAGGTGACCTTTGATCTGGGCCTTGCAGTATGGATACAATGTCAGCAGGTAGATATGGGGGATGGAGTGGAGTATTTCTGATAGACGGACCAACATAAACAAAGATAGAGTGGTGAGAAAACATAGGGTGGCCTTGGGGGTGGAGCAGGCCAGCTGGGCTAGAACATCAGTTGTACAAGTGGTGATTACGATGAGATATGGTTGGTGTCTTATTAGGGAGGCCTTTTGAATCAAAGCATCATAAATTTAGAGCTACAAAGGACCTCAGAGGCCATTTCGTTCAATCCTTTTGTTTTTCAAATGAAGAAACTGAGGCGCAGGGAGGTTAAGTGAATTGCCCAGGGTCACACAAGTAGTATGAGTGTGCAGTAAAGAATTTAGACTTTATTCAGGAGGCTGTAGGGTGCCATGTCAATGAATATTGAATTATTGCCAACTGAGGCTAATGGAGGGGAATGCCTGGGTATCAGTTATGGGGTCCCCCCCCAACACAGCTATACATATTTGCACATGTCCAGAGCTTGGAAGAAAAAAGGAAATGGGCTCAGAGATTTAAATTGTTCTGCTTTGCCTTTCTCTGATTTTACTATTTGATGGCAATTGAAATGTAAAATCATTAAACTACAGAGTGGTAGTGGTAGAAGGAACTACAGAACTTATTTAGTTGAAACCCTTTCTTTTTACTAACGCAGAAATGGAAGCTAAAGGAGAGAAAATGACTTGCCCTAAATCTCTGATCGTTTGGTAGCTGAGTAAAGGCTTGACCACAGTCTGCTTGTCTCAGTTCAGTCTGGTGTAGCCTTCGTGTTGATAAGATGAGCGGAAGATACAGGAGTGTGTTGGGTTCTGGTTCTGAAACTTACTGGTCATATAACCTTTGGCGGGTCATTTCCTCTCTCTTGAGTTTCAGTTTCCTTATTTGTAAAATGAAGGGACTAGATGGGGAGACCAGAACATGTTTGTATATAATGAGGAAGGAGTCAGTAGAGAAAAGACTGAAGATGACAAAAATGTAGTGAATAATGGAGCAAGGTCTGGGAGCAGGCAGGAAAGGAAAGGGTTAGCACAAATTGAGATAGCATTGTCATTGTGTCATTGTGGAGATTATCCTCTGAGGTTGGAGCAATTGAGGAGGACCATTTTATCATCTGAAATTGGAACAATGGGGGAAGGCCATTTTATCATCTGAGATTGGAGCAATGGAGGAGGGCCATTTTATCATCTGAAATTGGAACAATGGGGGAAGGCCATTTTATCATCTGAGATTGGAGCAATGGAGGAGGGCCATTTTACCATGAGATTGGAGCAGTAGGGGAGGACTGCCTTCTCCTCTGAGATTGGTACAGTAGGCAGGGCTAGGGGAATGGATGGGTCCATAAGAGTTTTTCTGAGGTTGGGAGGATGAGAGACTAAAGGCAGTTGGGTAGGATTTTCAGTCTATTTAATAAAATAGGAGGTGACACCATCTGTTTGAGAGGGAGCAGTTGGGGCAGAGTTGAGAGCTTGAGAAAAAAGATTTGCTTATAGCCTTTGTAGAGAGGGTGTGATAGGGAGTTAATTAGAAATGAGTAAAAGGATTATTGTGATTTAGAGAGGGCCAGTTTGAGATTATTTGGTACGGATTTGTAGTGGACTCTGTCACCACAACATCATCTAGCAAAGGCTTGGAGGAGTTTGAGGATCATAGGGTAAAGAACCAACTGGCATTAGTGAGAGACAATGGGGGATTTCACTCTAGTCCTATGATCCTGTGACAGGAGATTCTGGGAGGAAAAAGGAATTTCGGCGTTTGGAATCTTGTGGCCCTGGGTCTAAGATGTGGCAGCCTCTGTTGGTAGGTACGGGATAGACATAGATGTAGAGGTCATGGGAATTGATCCAGTTAATAAAGTAAGAGCGCACGGTGGTGGTAGGGTCATCATCGTTACTATTGAAGTTACCAAGGATAAGGTCAAGAGTTGGAGTGGAAGGGCAGATGGTGAGCCAGGTGAGGATGTCATGGAAGAGGCACCTGGAGTCAGTAGCTGGATCTGGTATAATTGATTGGTGTGCACTTCAGAGGCAAAGGGATTGTCGAGTGATGGTGGCAAAGGGAAGGTCTGAAACTGGCAGAACACAAAAGCATGAAAGTATAAACAAAGGAAGGAAAGACAATTTCTAAGTGGGGAGACGGGGTGGGATCAAGGAAGTGTTCATAGAGGAGATGCCACTGGAGCTGGACCTTAAAGGATGGGCGGAATTTTGAGAGATGGACGTAGGAGGGGGAGGGCCTTCTGGAACTGTGTCAGCAAAGTTGCTTCGAGATAAGAAATTGAGGAATATCTCTGGAGGATAACTGTGGTTAGTTCTGTCATTATTGGAGGCTGTCACAGGAAGTTCCAGCAAGATAAGATGACTCCTAAGGTGATCTTGGGGCCTATTGCTTTCCTTCCTGTGGACCAAGATCACTTGTCTTGTTACTATTGCAGAACTTTCCCATGATTTTGGGCCTGATAGGGTCATTGCCTTGGGTATCTAGGCAGCACAGTAGAAAGAGGCCTGAGCCTGGAGGCAGAAAGACCTGGGTCCAATGATGGTCTAAGGCATTGACTAGCCGTGTGATTCTGGACAAGTTGCTTAACCTCTGTTTGCCTCCATTTCCTCAACTATAAAATAGGGCTGATAATAATAGCACCTACCTCCCAGAGTAGTTGTGCAGATCAAATGACACATTTGCAAAGTGCCTGATACATAATAGGTACTTAATAAAAGTTTGTTTCTCTTCTCCCCTCCTCTCTCTTTTCTTTTCCTTCTTTCCTTTCTCCTTTTTCCATTTCCTTTCCTTTTCTGTTGCTTAAGGAATGGTTGGTGATACTGCAAGTTCAGTATGAACCACCATTGTTATGTGGCAGCCAAAAACCCTAATGCAACCTGGGGCTGTCTTAAGAAAGGGATGGTGTCATTATATACACCTTGTCTATAATACTGGTCAGAGCACATTTGGAATATTATATGCAGTTTTAGAAGGACATGGGCAACCTGGAACATACAAAGGAGAGTGAGGGGCCTTGAATCCACAGATAGGAGGCTTGATTGAAGAAACTAGAAATGAAAACAGAAAACTTGGGGGCCGTGAGAGTATTGGCCTCAGTGTATTTGAAAGGACTTGTTCTACGTGGTCTCAGAGTGCAGAACTAGGAGCAGTGGGCAGGATTTGTACAGAGGAAGATTTCAGCTGAGCGTAAAGAAAAACAACTTCTTGGTTCCAGCTACCCTCCTGTGGAATGGTCTACTTCAGGAGGTCTGGCACCTGGACAACTACTTGTTGAGGATGTTGTAGAGGATATCCCTGTTAAGGTCTGGTCTGGACGAAATGGCCTTCAAGGGTCCTTCCAACTCTGAGCTTCCACGGTTCTATTTCTTTTCACTTATCTGTACAAGTTTCTTCCTGACAGATAGTACCAGGAAGTCTGTCGCCATTCTCTCTCCTTAACAAAGAATAAAATGTGACTCTTAAGTATCTTTGTTTGAACAGCCCTTTCTTGGTTTTAAGGTGGACACTCCTCCCCTTGTGTGTATGTTAGTTGGGGTCTCAGAACATTGATTACCAGCACTTATTAAGCACCTCCTATATTACAGGGCACTGGGATTACACAAAATGAAAAACACTAAGTCCTGCCTTTAGTGAGTTTTAATTTTGCTGGTCAGGATCTGGCTTGCATATTAATATGTATGATACAAAGTGAAATGCAGCATGCAAGGTAGAGAGAGCAGTTCAGGCATGGGGAACAGCCAATGCAAAGGCGTGATGATGGGAGACGTCACATGTAAGGAACAACTGGAAGCTCACTTTGGCTTACAGTACCTAGAGTATGTTGGCGTTGATGTTGTGTGGTAGAGAGATTGCAGGACTTGGAATCTGGAAGATTGACTTTGAATCCTACTAGAGATACAGAGTAGTGGTGTGGCCCTGGGCAAATCACTTAACATCTCAGTTTCTTTATCTGTAAAATGGGGATAATAATAGCACCTACCTCACAGAGTGGGCAGCTAGGTGGTGTAGGGGATAGAGTGCTGGGCCTGGAGTCAGGAAGACTCATCTTTCTGAATTCAAATCTAGCCTCAGGTTTGAGGCCACTTACTTGTTGCGTAACTCTGAGCAGGTCACTTAACCCTGTTTGCCTTAGTTTCCTCATCTGTAAAATGAGCTGGAGAAGAAAATGGCAAACCACTCCAGTATCTCTGCCAAGAAAACCCCAAATGGGGTCAGGAAGAGTTGGAAATTGACTGAACCACAACCTAACTTCACAGGGTTATTGTGAGGAGTGGGTGAATTAATATATTAAAGTGCTTTGCAAGCCTTAAAGCGTTGTGTAAATACTAGCCATTGTTACTGTTACTATTATTAATGAGATGGAAAGGAGGACCCAGGTTCTAAAGGACTTTAAAAACCAAACAGAAGACCTTTTATTTGTTCTTAGAGGCAACGGGGAACCCTTAGAGTTTATTGAGTAGGGGAATGACATGGTTAGACCTGCACCTTAGGAAAATCACTTGAGGTAGGCCTTGAAGGAAGAGAAGGATTGCAGTAGAAAGGAGCATGTCAGCATGGAGTTGGTCTTCAACAATGCATGGACATAGAAGATGGGACAGGATGGAGACTGGCCACTAGTCTAGTTTATCAGGAATGTAAAGTGCATGGAG